GTTTTTTGCTTAAGGGGTGTAATAAATATTTATTTTGGGCAAATGCAAGGGTCAGCAAAATAGGTGAATGCAAAAAAAAAAAAAAAAAAAAAAAAGTTTGAGGTTTCCTCTTCTCCCTCTCGTTCCTCTGGCTTTTCCTTTAGGGCCTCATTATTAACAGTGAAATAGCAAACTTGCTCAAGGGCCGAATTGTGCTCTAAAAATCCTAAGTGTGGTTAGAAAAACATTTTTTCCTCTGCAGTGTGCCAGACAGCTTAAATTTTAACCCTGTAAAGTAGGATCCATGAAGCGGCCCATATGAATTTTTGCTGATAAGGTTCTGAATTAATGCTATTTTGTGCAGACCTAGGCCTGCTGAAGCTTAAGGAAATTCATCACAGTTGCAGATTGTTTTCCAAGTAATATCCTCACGGACTATGAAGCCGATCCCTTTATGCTAAATACATAAGGGTTTTGCTTAACTTCATTTTTTTGAGCTCCTCCATCTCTAATCCCCATTGCTCAGTTTGTAAGTAGGCTTTGGCATAGGCTGGTGAACTGCAATCGTGCTGACACCCAACTCACACGGTGTGATGTGGGGGTAGGGATGGTGGAGGAGGTTCGGTGCAGGCACAGCTTGGATTTTTCTTCCCCTTTGATATAACTAAAACTCTTACTTCCTGTACAGACAAGCAGTCAGTGTGATTTGGAATATTTGGGTGGAGGATAATATGCAGCAAAGTAATTCAGCCATAATCCCGAAGGATGGGATAACAAATAACATGATGTACAGGCAGCTGGAATTATTTAAAAGGTGCAAAGGAGCTTAATGTTCTGAGGAGCTGCCTTTGCAGCCTACTCTTGAGTAGGCACATCTGTAACTTTGCAAATGAAATTGCTTGCAGATATAAATGTGGTTGTGGGTTTGTTTGCTCTTTCGAGGAGGTGATGGAGCATCTGCAGCATCCGGGCAGGTGCGCTGGGAGCTGCAGGTGCCAGTGCCAAGGCTGGGCTTGAAAACCTGGGCATCTGCTCGCAAGGATCAATGCATTATCTTTGCTTTTGTTGCCAGAACAGTCAATGTGGAGAAGATTGCTATCAAGAAAAATATTTGCTTAATGCTGTAATGTTGGTGTTTTTCAGTGTGACTGGGTACATGGGAATAAGCAGGAGGTTGCAGAGGAGCTGCAGTGAGCAGCTTTCTCCTCTGCCTTCTCCTGCATCATCCTGGTTCATGGGCTGCAGCTAAAATGGGTGCAGCTGCAGGCTATGCTGTCATGCCACCGTTTACAGGGCCATTTATATGAGCACAAATCGTTCTAAGAATCAGCATTTCCAATTGACACACGGTTCCCCTGGGCTACCTTATAGCAGCAGATATTAAAGTTTGGGTTTGTCCAGGTTCAACAGCTATCTTGAARGATCTGCCAAGAGTGAGGCTTCTTTGGAGAGATACTAATAGACTGTTCTTATCTGCAAGCTCACCTGAATGGAGAGCTATTCAAGTATGGTTTTGGTCACGTTGTCAATCTCTGGAACTGCTATATCCAGATGGCAACTCACTCATGTTAGTTGTCCAGGCTTCTTCTGCAATGCTTGTTAAAAGTATTTGCTGCAAAGTAGCMCATTGTTTTTTGTTCTTGCGATGGGTTTTATAACCAACCTGTGGCAGGAAGGCCCTTGGGAGTGAGGGGACCGTGTGCAGGGATCACAGGGTGACAGGGAGCAGCTGCAGGTGGGACTGGAGTCTCCCATTCATTCAAAATCAAATGTCCCAACCCACTCCACATTTAGACCTCTTTTCCCATGTTTCTATATAAATCCTTGCTTGCTGCCATCTCAGTTAATTTTATCACAGAATGGAGAGGGTTGTATGCCAAACAGCAGTGAAATGAAAGTAGAGGCTGTTAAAGTCATACTTGTTGAAAGTATTTGGAGAAATTAAACTTGGTGGTTTTTAATAGTCTTTTTGCTAAGAAGGTATAAATGAAAAGCATACTTCTTAAACAGATGTGTGCATGATGAGGCAGAATTTGATCTATAAATATAAATGGAGCTTTATCTAATTACTGCTTTAAGCCAAAATGCGTTAGATTTTAAAATAACTTTCAATTAAAAGAGCCTAGTTCAACTTGAAAACAGTTTTACTCCTGGACTCAGTATTTTAATAATAAATGGCAGAGAGCAACCTGCAGCCTCCTGAAGCTCCTGATGAGAACTGCTTTCCAAATGAGCAGCTCTCAGGCACTGAGAGCTGCAAGTCACAGCCATGTTCAGCCCCAATGCTCTACAGGCCAAATTATTCCCCAAATGACACAAATCCATGCAGACTTTTGTTTGTTTTTTGTTTTCTCCCCTTTTGTAATGCTTTTCTTGCCACTGTTTCTTCAGCTGTGCGGCTCCCTCTTCGCCCTCCCTCCTGCCTTGGGCTGCAGCAGCAGCTGCCTCATGGAGAGCACTGGCGAGGCCAGCCGAGATGCTCGGCCAAAACGCCCTTCCTGCCTCCTCGGCTGCAGCTCGTAGCTCTGAAGTCAGCGGCGCTGCCTTTTTGCCCTCGGCCAGCGTGTGCTGGGCATGGGGAGGCTGTTCTTTGCAGGGTCTGGCTGATGCGGGGCCCTGTGGCCTTTGGAGGCCATTGCTTTCTTTCCTGTGGCACGACAAGGGTGAGCACGTCACAGGGACGCTGCTGGGAACTTAAAGGGCTTTTCAACTCCCCGGATTCCTGGTGAAAGCCTCCAAGCCACGTCGCACAATCGAGTCTCAGTTCGGGCCGTCCAGGAAGGACGGCTCTGTCGGCGCGTGGGCTGGCTCCACTCGGCCTCAGAAGAGGCCTTGTTCAGTGTGTGCCTCTGCTCGGCCTGCCGGGGCCCCGCGTTGCGCCAAGCGCGAGGTGTTCGGCTGCGGCCCCACCATGTCATCCCTCAGTTCAGCTTTCATGCAAGCCTCTTCTGAAGCCTGCGCCATGGCTTCCTCTGAGGTGACCTGTTCTCCACAGTCAGCCCAACTCGACAGCCATAGGCAGAGGCTGCTTTGATCTCGTTCGTGGTCATCTTGGCTTAAAGCTGTGGGGAAAAAGAAGTATAAATGTGCTGTGGTTTTTGTTGGATGGGAGCAGGCAGTGATGGGTAATTATATTCCTGTTCCTGGAGCTGTTGGCCTGAGGGGAGCTAACATGTGAAGTAGTGACACCTTGTCCTCTGTGGGGGTGTGAGATACTTGTACTCAAATATCCACCTCCCTGTGGAAAGAAGGGGGGAAAAAACCCTGCGACAGTTGAAATCTAGCCCAGCCAAGTTGCTGAGTTTCTATCAAAGCAGTAGACGGATGGCCCAGCTGCAGGAGGTGCTGAGGTGTCTCTGGGAGTTGCATTTCTGTGCCAGTCACCCGCTGAACGTGGCTGGGCTGACAGCATTGCAGTTGCGTGGCTAGTGAAGACATCAACTCAATGATGAGCGCCCAAATGTCTCCGTTCAGGCTGTGTCTGCCCCCAGAGCCAGATCGTTTGAGGAGAATTAAAACCAATAGGAGATAAAGGTTTCAAAGACTCAATATGTTCCCACATATTTGACTTCTGCAGTGTACTTAGACCCATTCCCTGCATGTGTGCTCTGCTGTCCTCTCCAGAAGAGCGATATTGGCTTCTGTCCCTGTTGAATTCTCCTTTTTGGGCTGTACAGTAGCATGAAGACAAAGTCTTATGACCAGATGGGCTCCTAGAGGCTGCTAAGAGGGACCTTTGGCTRCAGCAGAGCCCTGGGACAGTTGCTACCTCAGTCACGGCTGCAGCTGAGCAGGGCCAAGGACCTCTTCCCACCCAGGAGGACAGGGCCAGTTCAGATCTTCATTCATCAAAGAGGTCTGCATTTTAAAAAATTAATCTCTGTATTTTGTACTTCTGGCACTTAGATTGTTTGATTATTCCTAATGACTTGAAAGGTGAAAATATTTAGATCTCTTCCAGACTGGATTTAAGTTATTTTTGTATTTTGGGAGACTGCTCTTCCTAAGAAATTCAGTTCTTAATAAAGTAATCTTTTTTTTTTTTCTCATAGTTTCTGCAGAAATGAAAGATTTTGTTTTTTCCAAGCAAGAATCCTACTTAAACCCAACAATATGCAGTGGATGACATGTTTCGCTGTTTGCTTTCCCTTTTCTAAAGACAAAAGAGCCTTATTGAAATGTGTTTCCTTTCTGGTTACTAATGGGTTTTCCTTCCTTCCTCCCTGCAATAAGCTTTTAACATTCTCCCATCCTGTTGGGTATAAATCTCAGCCTGAACTATTTTCCTTGTTGAGGTGTTGAGTTGCTGCTCCTGTTTGCAAAACTGTACTTGGTAATATGATAAGGAGAAGCTGAGCTTAGGTAGGAAGAGATTTTCCAGTGTGGTGGCAAAGGGGATGAAGTCTGAAAAACAAGGATAAGATGCTATCAGTTTTTATCAGCTCTTGGTCATATTCTCTGTTTCTCATTTAATTTCTGGATGCTTTCTTATGTTGGATCTAGATAAATTCCATGGCATTATATACAAACTAGCTAAAGGAAGGGCTAATTCCTGTTGGTCATTAATGTTGCATGCTAAGTTGTCTCAGGTTAAAGGGAAAACAAAACGGCAAGCCTTTTCACTGGAATTCCCTTGTTTCCTGGAGGGAAGATACTGAAAGTTTTGCTTCAAAGGCTCTGTATGGGAATTACGTCCTGAAGACTGGATATTCTCCAGGTTTTAATTGCGCTTATTCATAGAAACGCTAAACTTCATGAACTGGACAGCAGAGCTCTAAATTTGGCTGTAACTGCAGAGAGGGTATTGTTTCGTGCACGCTCTGATTAGCAACCTTGGGCATAGATGTACACTTCGAAATAATTATAAAATGGATGGGAATGAAAGCAGGCTTTGCTTTGTGCAAAAATGAGATGAGCTAAACGACTTTCTATCTGAATGTCCRATTTAAATAAAGTCTTGCTTTTGCATGGTGTTGGAGTATGTCTTATGGAATAATGCTTTGTTTCTCTCTCACATATAGGACTTCAGTTTGGTATGAGATCTAAGGTACCAGACTGTGGGACACCAATCTACTGCAATTTCTACGTCGTCTTGCACTGCAAGAGGAAGAAAATAAGACTGAGCAATGTGTTTTAACCAGTAAGAGTGTGACTAGACTACTGCCTCACCTCTGCTGTTGCCAGTATCAGAAATCTGAGTCCAAATATCTATATTATTTGTGYGCTGTGTTTCTGAGGTTTCTTTCACTGAAGATGAGAATTTGACTTTTAAAACTAAAACTCATTACCATTTTTCTAAACTGGCTGAGCTTGCACTCAAACAAAGGTCTATTTAGCTRTCTTACCACAAAATGCATGCTTTCTTGTTCAGTAGAGAGGCAGTTCAAGACATCACAGTGGAAACCACTGCATTGTGCTGCATTCTTGGGCTTCAAAAGGTTGAGATTGGAAAGAGATTGTGGAAAACCTAAAAATTTGTGGGTTTTTTTGTTTGTTTGTTTTGCATTTTTTATAAGGAATAATAAATAATATTTTGGTTTTAGATTCCTTTATAAATAAAATTGAAGGATCTTCTGGGAGTGTTCAGCTTGAAAGAATGTTGTCTTGTTTCAGATAATATTTAGGATTAAGCAACAGTGTTGTTAAGAGTCTTTTTTGCTGTCCATGTTTCCTCATGGTAGCTTTTGCAACACTRGTAAGGAAGGTAAAAAGGTAATTTGGACTAAGTACTGTGCTTTACTGTTGTCAGTGCTAGAGGAAATTGGGAAATGYGTCTTCTATTCAGAATTGTATCCATCCAACATGGCACTACGAATTAATTTTGAAACTTGCTGCTGAAGGGAAATTATCAAAACATATCCAATTTGAAAATGAAAATGTGTTTTTGGATAGTGCTGAAAGATGAAAATGTTGAGTGATTGTTACTCCTTTTAATGAAAGTCATAACATTTAGACGTGATAAGAACATAACTGCCTTTTTACGTGGAAAATAGCTCCATCAAACTTCCTAACTATCCGTACTTGCATATTCCAGACTYCTCCACTAACTTTGACTTTGTTAGTGAGGTAAAATAAGGAGTTGAGGAAGAAAGATGGTCATATTTTGGAAAGTGATTGCAGTGAACCTTGTCTCCTGCAACATGAAGACTTGTAGAACTATTAACTTCTGCTTTGAACTACAGTAGTCCGAGTTTTAGGCATGTTTGGAAGGATTTGGATGATTAAAGATCATTGTGACTTTCAGGGAGCTATGTCARTTGGTCTCCTAGCTGAAATTGTGCTCCTTCCTCCTGGCTGTGCTTGAGAAATTATGAAAGGATTTGTACTTTAGAAACCAGCTAAACTAGTCCGGATTAAAAAGTCTGGAGTTTAAGGGAGCTGGGGGTCTCCTTACTGTAGCAATTGCTTACCTAAGAGGTTTTGCAAAGTATTACAGTATGCAGAAGTCTTGTGGTCACTAACCCAATATGGGAAGAGTTTAATCTAGCACAGAGCAAATGTTATCATCGTCCTTCATATCTCTGAAAACAGCAATGTGATCCGTATCTTTTAGTTATTTTTCTTCTGCCATGATTAGTGCACATCCTGTACCCTGCATGCTGCTTTTGAATTCTCAGTTAAGTGTTATAATGCTTTATCTTTCTGTAGAAGTTGACATTATGGTGAAACCTGGTAAAATCTTCAACATTACAGTGTGTACCTGAACTGCTTTGGGGATCAACCCTACTAAGTTCTAATTTGTAGAAGAAGGCTTCCCATATTGCATTTGCCAAGTATTCATTRCATGTTCAGGGAGACTTGAGTTGATCTTGAAACATCATTGAGGCTGGTTATTCTGTTTTGCATGAAAATATTGATGGTAAGAGTCCTTGAATACACTACATTAGGGAGGAGCTAAATAAAATAGACTACAACAGTATTTTTCAAGCAGAAATAATCTTAGCATATCTAGGAGGATTTAGGAACTTTCTCCTTAGTTCCCCTGAGCTTAAGTTCATTTAAATTTCATTTAGAAAAAGGGAATTTGCCGTGACCTGTGAAAGGGCACTGATCTCTCCGTAAGGAAGGTGTAGTTAACTACTGCCATACCTGGCAGTAGCTAGAGAGAGCCTTGCAGTGAGCGAGGAACAAAGTCTGTCCTCGGAGCAGTGAGCACGGAGAGGACCATGAAGTCTCGCTGGCAGCTGGTTAAGGGCAGCATATGGAGCTGCTGGGTGGCCTCATTAGGGAGGCAGCTCTGATGCGGGCAGGCAAGGGCTGCCAGGCTGCGCTGCGCAGAGCGGAGCAGCGCGAACAGAGCCCGCAGGCAGAGCTGCTGGAAGCAGCTCTTGTGCTCCCTCTGGAYGGCGGTCCTTGACTGTTGGCCTCTTTGCCGAGGTCACACTGGCCACGTGGAGTTTTGGCACTGTTACAGTCACTGAAGATTAGTTGTAGATTACAGAAGTAAGCTAAGCCACGTTGAGACGAGTTACAGTGCTTATCTTTCCAGCAGTTTTTGCACACATACTTTTAATCATACTGCTAGAAGCAGAGCATCAATTCACTGTTTCTGGTGAGTTTATTAGAAATAGATTTAGGCTCTTTCTCTTAAAACCTAATTTGAAATGCTGTAGGTGCTTTTCTTATCTTCACAGCTTTCATCTGCCAGCCGCTAGCTCCATGGCAATTCTGCAAAGCCTGCATTTCWCTTCTGGTGCCAAAAGACAACCTTGGTCTCTTTCTTTGAATCTTTGGTCATGTCTCCAGTGTGATGCAGTGAGTAGATGGCCTTTAGAAGCTGAAGCTGCAATGTGGACTTCCCAGTGCATTCCCTGAGGTCACATGGAAAACTTCTAATGCAAAAAAAAAAAAAA